GCCCCAAAAAGCCTAAACCCTAAAACCCTGAACCCTAAACCCTAAACCCTAAACCCTAAACCCTAAACCCTAAACACTGAACCCTAAACCCTAAACCCTCAACCCTAAACCCTAAACCCTAAACCCTAAACCCTAAACCCTTGCGTTCGGTCGCGCCTCCTCCTGGGAGCAGACTTTCGTCACCAGCGCCTCGAGGTCGCACGCCTGCCGTGGCACCGTTTTTGGCGGTTTAGGGTTTTAAGGTTTAGGGTTTAGGGTGTAGGGTTCAGGGTTTGGGGTTTAGGGTTTAGGGTTTAGGGTTTAAGGCTTTAGGGCTTTAGGGTTGTTTTAGGGCTTGGGGCATTAGGCTTTTGGGGCTTTGGGATTTAGGGTTTTCGGGTTTTGGGGTTTTCTGGGTTTCAGGGTTTAGGGTTTTCGGGTTTTGGGGTATTGGGCCATGGGAGTTTAGGGCTTTTGGGGAGTTTAGGGCTTTTGGGGGGTTTAGGGTGCTAGGGTTTTTAAGGTTTTAGGGGTTAGGGGTTGGGGTTTGGGGTTTAGGGTTTAGGGTTTCGGGTTTTGGGGCTTTAGGGTTTCAGGGTTTGTAGGCTTTGGGGCTCAGGCCTTCCGAGGTTTTTACCGTTGAGGGCTTGGGGTTTAGGGTTGAGGGTTTAGGGTTTAGGGTTTAGGGTTTAGGGTTTAGAGTTTAGGGTTTAGGGTTTAGGGTTTAGGGTTTAGAGTTTAGGGTTTAGCCCTCAATCCTGAAACCCGCAAGCCCCATAAGCCCGCGGCTTAACTTATGTCATGCGCCTGCAGGGCATGTCCATTGCCACTCGCAGCCGCCACATTGCTCCAACGCTGCAGCTGCTCCTACCACCGCGACAGCTGGGGGCATTCAGGCGTTTAGGGTTTTGGGTCTAGGGTCTAGGGTTTAGGGTTTGGGGTTTAGGGTTCAGGGTTCAGGATTCAGGGTTTAGGGTTTAGGGTTTAGGGTTTAGGGTTTAGGGTTTAGGGTTTAGGGTTTAGGGTTTAGGGTTTAGGGTTTAGGGTTTAGGGTTTAGGGTAGCCCAAGCCCTCCGGCAAACGCGTCCTCCAGCGCTGGGCTCAGATCCAAGGTTCCCACCTGCACTGACGAGCCCGACCAAACTCCCGCATCAGGGGGTTCAGGGTTCTGGGGTTTAGGGTTTGGGGTTTTGGGCTTAGGGCTTAGGGTATTAGGGTTTAGGGTTTGGGGTTTAGGGTTTAGGGTTCAGGGTTCAGGGTTTAGGGTTTTGGGCTTTGGGTTTCGGGTTTAGGGTTACTCGGGAACCCCCCCCTCCCCAAACAGGTACTGCGAGCGTTTGGAAACCCCGACTCGACCTGCAACAAGCCCTGAACTCAGGAACCACCAGTCCTGAACCCTCGAAACCGGCAGGCTCCGGTGGTTTAGGGTTGAGGGGACTTGTCGGCAACCCTAAACCCTAAACCCTAAAACCCTAAAACCCGAAACCCTAAACTTCCCAAACCCTAAACAACCCGAAACCCCAAGCCCTAAACCCGAAACCCTAAACTCTTGGTTGGAGATCGCCATTGGGCAGCGTAGGGGCTCGCATGCCTTGGCCACCAGCTGCTCCAGCGCTTCATCTCCGTGGCCGTTCTGGCCGCAGGGGCTCTTTGGGGCCAAAATAGGCGCAGAAGGGGGGGAGGGGGGGGGTTTAGGGTTTGGGGTTTGGGGTTTAGGGTTTAGGGTTGAGGGTTCAGGGTTCAGATTTTAGGGTTTAGGGTTTAGGGTTTAGGGTTGAGGGTTTAGGGTTTAGGGTTTAGGGTTTGGGGTTTGGGGTTTAGGGTTGAGGGTTGAGGGTTTAGGGTTTAGGGTTTAGGGTTTAGGGTTTAGGGTTTAGGGTTTAGGGTTTAGGGTTTAGGGTTTAGGGTCTATTTAGGGTTTAGGGCTTGGGGCTTGGGGCTTGGGGCTTGGGGCTTGCGGTTCGGGCTTCGAGCTTAGGGCATGGGATATTTAGGGTTTGGGGAGGGTGGGGTTGGTTTCGGGCTGCTTGAGATTTGAGGGCGGAAGGAAGGGCTCCCTCCCCCAAGCCTGCAAGGGCCCAAGAGCTGAGTTAACATGAGCTTTGGCCTCGACCATGGGATGTTCCCCCTTATACTAGCAGTCCTTAATAGGGAGAACAATAGGGGGTACCATCATCCCTATTAAGAGACTGTTAGTATAAAGGGGACCATCCCAAACCATCACTACCATAACACACAAAAAAGTTTGGGTGGCTGGACATCCTTAGCCTTAGACGTCACAGGGCGCTCTTAGAGAGAAGAAGGAGCCGGGTAAACAAGAAAAACCATGCCTTGACGATGGCTCTGCATCTCACTCCTCAGCCCAAACCCCATCCCACAGGACCGCAGGCCCTTGCCTCCAACGAAGAGATCAAGCCTTTCGGACCTGTGCGTTCCCGTGGGCTCTGGTGTTGGTTTTGGGGTGTGCTGAGGGTTGGGGGGTGGTTGTGGAAAATCCTCACTAAGGACCCTAACCCCCCCCCCCTCCCAAAAAAGAATTGAGAAAAAACACATGTAATAAAGCAAAAAACAAGAAGAATAACAAAAAGACACCAAAAATAGAGCTCAAACCTCTGAAGCCCCTTTGAACCGCCAAGCACGGACTCAAAAGAACTGGCAAAGCTTACTGTTGTCTAACAGGGAATGGGGGACCCTATAGAATCCCTTGAAAGGGTATATAGGGCCCTAGATAATCCCTGAATGGGTAAATGTAGAGGGCCCTATAGAATCCCTTAATTACAGGGTATATGTAGGGCTCTTCCCTCATTCCCTGCAGCCTAAACCCCAAACCCTAAACCCTAAACCCTAAACCCTAAACCCTAAACCCTAAACCCTAAACCCTAAACCCTAAACCCTAAACCCTAAACCCTAAACCCTAGGCAACGGGCCCCGTGCCCAGATGTCCGAAGCACTCCGCCACGAGTCGGAAGGCCTTCTCCAGGGGCTCCAGGCCTGGGTGCCAATGGAGCTGCAGGGTTGAAAGGTTTAGGGTTTAGGGTTTAGGGTTTAGGGTTTGGGGTTTGGGGTTTGGGGTTTGGGGTTTGGGGTTTGGGGTTTGGGGTTTGGGGTTTAGGGTTAGATTTAGGGTTTAGGGTAGGAGTTATGGGTTTATGGGGGTTTAGGGGGGGTAGGGTCACCTAATTCCCCAATCAGGCAAGCAAGTACCTTAAATTTCCCCTACGTAACCCTTAAGGGGGTGAAGGAGGTACCTTGGGATGGTTCCCCTTATAGATATATATATATATTTTTATTTATATTTATTTATTTATATTTATATATATATATATATATACGTATAAACATATACTAACCGTCCTTAATCGGGGGTTACACTTGAAGGTACGATAGTCCCTATTCAACTAAGGACCGTTCGTGCAAGGGTGAACATCCCAAAAGAGGTACCGTATTTTCCTAGCCGAATTCCCGACTACGTGCAAGAAAGAAACTAGACCCGGGAGCAACCTAGGAATAAAAAGGGCACCCTTTTTGGTTTTAAGGGGATGATAAAACCCTAGACCCTAGACCCTAAACCCTAAACCCTAAACCCTAAACCCTAAACCCTAAACCCTAAACCCTAAACCCTAAACCCTAAACCCTATGAGAAGGGAACCCCAACCCAAAAAAAAGGAACAAAGGGCCTACTCCCAGTCCAAGGAAAAGGTCCCCCGGCGATCTGCTAGGCTGGCCAGGCATTCCTCACCTCGGGAGTTGGGCTTTGGGGCAGCTGTGGTTTGGGTGAAAATGGGCTTAGGGTTTAGGGTTGGTTTAGGGTTTAAGGGTTTAGGGTTTAAGGGTTTAGGGTTTAAGGGTTTAGGGTTTAAGGGTTTAGGGTTAAGGGTTTAGGCTTAGGGTTTTTGGGGCGCAGTTGGTGTAAGGATTTGGGCCAGAAGCTCCAGGAAGGCGAGACATCCCCATACCCCACCGCGCTCCCGCGCGACCGTGGTTTCGGGCTTGTCTGGCTGACGGGGGGTGAGTTCAGTCGGAACTCCCGTCTGGTGAAACTCTCAGCAGCCTCGCCCATGCACCTCTCACTGCAACTACTCTCCCCAAGCCGTGTGCTTTCTTGCTTTTGTGTTGTTGTTTTTTTCTCTCTCTCTCTCTCTCTCCAGAAATACTTGTTGCTAGTATGTCTCTACTACAATAATATATGTAATATATAGTCTCTGCTATATATGTATATATACCCAAAACCCTAAACCCGAAACCCTAAACCCATTCATACCCATAATAGATAGCTCCGTGGGGCTCTTCCTTGGCGAGGCCCAGACCCAGACCGAGAAGAAGCTCCCGATCGTCGTGCCTTTGAAGCGCCTCGTCCTGCTGCGGCGAAAAGGGTTCCAGGGCTTAGTCATACATCTAGGGTTTAGGCTGAGGGTACCTTTAGTCATGGTTTGGGGTTTTGGACTGGCGCTTAGGGAGCGAGAGAGCGAGAGAGAGAGAGAGAGAGAGAGAGACACAGAGAGAGAGAGAGAGAGAGAAAAAAAGGAACCCCTTAACCTTCAAAACCCCTAAGCCCAACGACCTGAACCCCCAAAACCCCAACCCCAACACACACTCAACCCTTGAAACCCCTCAAGACCTCGCAGCCCCTAAACCCTTATGCCCCGAAGGAACACACAACACCGGCCTCTGGCACCTCCGGCGGCCGACTGGTCGTTTCAGGTCCCAGCGCCGGCGCCAGAGCCTGGTTTGGTTATATGGGGGGGTGTACGAAAATACGAGGACCCCGAATTTTGACCCCCAAATAGTAGGACTCGCTTACAATAAAAGGGCCCCAACAAGGTGGTTTGTTTTAGGAACAGGGAGGTTTCAGGAGGTTTCAGATATTGCGGGAGGGGAAGGGGCAGGGAAGGTCGGGGCGGGGGGGCGGGGGGCAGGGTTTTTGTCTGCTTGCTTTGAGTTGGAAGGGAATTCTTAGGGGAGGGTCCTCGGATTTAGGTCTCAGGGGGTTTTAGGGTGTTGATTGCTTGTGGGCTTTAAAAAACTTTAGGATGACCGGGGGGGGGGGCTTCTTGCTGGGCTGCTCGTGTCACTTCAGGTTGCATCAACTGCCTTGTCGTGTCGTCCCTGCACTTCGACATTCAAAACCCGAGAGAAATCGCAACTGCCCCGGTAGACAAAACCTGAAAGAAATCGCAACTGCCCCGGCCGACACATGAGGAGGGCAAGGGTTGACCCGAAGAATTCCGGACTCATGGGCCCTCAGCAAGGGGATGCCACTGGAAGAAGTGCTGACAAGGGGAACCTGAACTCGAAACATTGCACAGAAAGTCCGCGGCCTCCTCCAACCCGTGGACCTTGGCATTGTAGGCTCATTTGCTTTGGAGGGACTCTGAGGAAATTGGGTTCGGCCTTAAAAAACTCCGAACCCCCGCCACAAATAGTTCTTTCGGGTTTGGGGTCAGGGTGTAGGGAGTTTCCCACCTTTAGGGAACATCCTGCTGGTCAGCATAAGAAAAGGCCCCTAATGCTACTATTTGCTTAAGAACCCGCCAAAAAATCTCAGATACCAATCCCCATATTGCCCTTACAAGAAGAATATCTTTATTTGTTGGGAGGTTCTTAAGCAATTAGAGGATGTGACCCCAAACGGCCCACCCTGAACCCAGGCCTGGGAATCCTAAGTTGCGCTTTCCGAGCCCCACAAAAGAAGAAGAATCAAACCCCTCAACCCTAAACCTGAGTCCCAAGCCCTACCCCTCCCTACACCCTAAACCCTAAACCCTAAACCCTAAACCCTAAACCCTAAACCCTCCAAAAGCTGCGAAATAACCCCAAAACCTCCTAAGGATGGGTGCCCCCGCATGGTCTTCCAGGTCTCGGAGTTGCCGGTCTACAGCCGCCAAGTCTGCTCGGAGGGCTTCGTGTTTCGGTTTAGGGTTTCGGGTTTCGGGTTTAGGGTTGAGGGTTGAGGGTTGAGGGTTGAGGGTGTAGGAGGGCTTATGGGTTCAGGGGCGGGCTGGGGGGGCTCTGAAGTTATGAGTTTCCGGGTGTAGGGTGCAGGGTGATGAGGGAGTTCAGCGTTTGCTAAGGGCCGCTTCCGGAGTTGCTTAGACGTTTAGGGTTTAGGGTTTAAGGGTTAAGGGTTAAGGGTTTAGGGTTTAGGGTTTAGGGTTAAGGGTTAAGGGTTAAGGGTTAAGGGTTAAGGGTTTAGGGTTTAGGGTTTAGGGTTTAGGGTTTAGGGTTTAGGGTTTAGGGTTTAGGGTTTAGGGTTTTGGGTTTAGGGTTTAGGGTTTTAGGTTTAGGGGTTTAGGGTTTAGGGTTTAGGGTTTAGGGTTTAGGGTTTAGGGTTTAGGGTTTAGGGTTTAGGGTTTAGGGTTTAGGGTTTAATTAGGGTTTAGGGCGTCTCGCCGCGCAGCGGCAGTAAGTGCCATGCGGAAATGGCGCCCCTACACACGCAGGGGGCGTGGGGGGGCGGCATGTCACGCGAAGGCATCTCTTGTCAATGTAATCCAACAATTTCATTGGTGCTGGGTTCTTTCTCCCCACCCGCTGTGAGCTTTCACAGGCCACCACCCAAACCACTGCCTTTTAGGGTTTAGGGCTGCCGCCCTCAATTCCCACCATTGCTTTCCCGACAAAGGTGTGGTGAAGGTAGCGGGGCGGGATCAGGTAAGGGTCAGGGCGGGGGGCCAAGGGGGGCCAGGGCGGGGCCAGGGGCCAGAAGGGGTCAGGTGCCAGGGCCAGGGGGGGGCCAGGGAGGGTTAGGGGCCAGGGGGGCAGCGGGGTCAGGGCGGGCCAGCAAGCAGGGGGCAGTGAGGTTAATTGCAAGAAAATGGGCGTTTTTGGCTCAGCAAGGGGTACGATTTCAGTTTTCGGGTCAGGGACCAGGGGGCCTCCAGAGGGGGGCCCAGGGGCTCCAGGGTGGTGGACTTCTGAGAGCTGTGGTCCTTAGTTTTAGGGTGTTCTCATCAAGAGGAGGATCAGAGAAGATCCCTGTGTAATTTGGGCGCCACTCTGGTGGCCTAGTGGCAAGGCGAGCCCGAGGGGCTCTCTATTCGACCATTCTCCAATGGCTCCACCCATTGTCCATCCAGTAAAGGTGTCCATCACTGCCGGGTATCTTCTGGGTCCAGGCACCCTAGAAAAGGGCGGGTACGGCCTAAGCAGGCCGGGTGGGTATTTAGGGTATTTAGGGTATTTAGGGCATTTAGGGCATTTAGGGTATTTAGGGTATTTAGGGTATTTAGGGTATTTAGGGTATTTAGGGTATTTAGGGTATTTAGGGTATTTAGGGTTTCCGAAACCCTGAGCCCGAAACTTTCTTGGGGTGTGGGGGAGAGAGGGGAGACACCCTCGTGCCGCGCGGGGTCGGCAGCTGCATCATCCTGGGAGAGAAGGCAAAGTAACTTGTGGCTTCCAAGCCCCTTGTAAACCGCCAAGAGCCAAGGATTCATGTAACCCTAAACCCTAAACCCTAAACCCTAAACCCTAAACCCTAAACCCTAAACCCTAAGGTGGGGGAGGTGGGGGGGGGTGCTGAGGGTCCAGGGCTTAGGGTGTTTAGAGTGCTTGGGGCGATACATTATCAGAGGGCACCCCTCGTTTGGGATATGCCCCGTGCTCACAGATGGATGTATGCAGAAGCACGGGCAAGCGTACGGATGTTGGCATGGAAGTCGTCTTGAAGCGCTGGGCATTGGGGCACTGTAATGCTGGGCTGGTGAGGCTGGCACATGGGTCGAGCGTCCCAGGCGTCCCACACCCTGAACCCCTAACGCTGAGAATGATCGGCTCATCTTGAATCTTGAGTAACAAAGCTTGTCGGGAAAAATATCAGATCCGGGTAGTGTAATCGTTGCAAATCGTGCGAGAAAGTCGGGAAACGTGCGCGAAACCTGTGAAAACATCCCATACCTTTCATGGATACGCGGCTTCGAAGCATTCTCGCTAACACATCGGCAAAGCTTCCCAAGCACAAACGCCATAACAGCAACGAACGCCGAAGAAGAAAAGCCAGAAGGCAACATGGGGTGTCCTGAAGCTCGTGAGACAGCCGGGAGCAGAGCAGCCGAGCCTCGGCGAGGGGGACCCGAGACCCCTCAAACCCGTCCCTCAACCCGAGCATTTTTGGGGTTTCAAGGGGCCCTTTCAGAGGTTGGCTGGGGGCGGCTGGGGGGAGTCTGAAGTGCAGAAAAGCAGTGGGAAAGTTAAAGCAGAAAACGAGACCTGGAGCCTCTCTTCGGGCAAAGCCGCCTGCAGCTCGCTCACCTCCTGGGACAGCTTGTACCTCAACTCGAGGGCTCTTCTGAGGGCGTCTGAGGGCTTTCGGTTATTGAGGGCTTTTGAGGGCTTTTGGGATGGTTTTTGAGGGCTTTTCAGTCACATTGTTACTTGTTCCTTGGGATCAGCTAGGGCTTGGAATGGACAACTCAGTGCCGAAACCCAAAACCCTAAACCCTAAACCCTAAACCTTAAACCCTAGACCCTAAACCCCTAAACCCTAAAATCTCCCCCCCCCCCCCCCCCTGGCCCAGGGGCACAGCTGCGCCTGCACAGGACTCGGCGAGGTCGGGGTTCCCGGGCCCTCGCCGTCCTGCCAGGGTCGGAGCTACTCCACCGGGCCTTTTTGGCTGGCTGAAAGAATTCTTAAACCCTAAACCCTAAACCCTAAGCCCCAGCAAAACGGCAGGCCGTGAAACCTTCCTGTTAACCCTCATACAACTACACACAGCACCCTCTCACCTGCTCGCAAGCACTGTGCACCTAACGAGTTGCCCCAAAAGCGTTTGCGGTGGTGCTGGTCCCAGTCTAAGGCACCCTCTCTTCTGTGAATCTGATGAATGGTGTGGAAGCCCAGACCCCTTTGGAAACTCCAAGGGGGGGGGGGGCCTTGTGACCCTACACCCCTCGAAATCCCCCTAACCCCGAAGCTCCACCCCCCTCTAATCCCAAAACCCCAAACTCTGAGCCCGAAGCCCTAAACCCTAAAACACCCAAACCCCAAACCCCAAAGCCTCAAAACCCCAAACCCCAAACCCTAAACCCTAAACCCTAGTTTCCCCCGAACCGCTATAGAGCCCCCTGCGTGCGCCTCAGCCACACGGCCCTCAGCGAGGTGCCAGCGCTCGAGCTCTGCCACCTTGCGGTTTTTTGGCTGTTGCAGCGAGGCTTAGTAAGGGTTCAGGGCTAGAGGGTTTAGGGCTGGGCTAGAGGGTTAGGGCTAGGGTTTAGGGTCGAGGGTTGAGGGTTGAGGGTTTAGGGTTAAAAGGTTTGGAGTTTTTGGGGTATGGGGCTTTGGGGATTAGGGGGTCTGGAGCTACTCTGGGGAAGGGTTCTACAACGGCACCAACAGCAATCCCAAGCAAGTTCCCATGATGCGCAGCGCTCGACCCCGCAGCCGGGCGCGGCGCGCGGGCGGCCAAAGCGTCCGCCGCCAGCAGATGGCCTCGGGCGACATTCGGCGACCAAGCATTCGGCTTGTAGACCGCGAAAGCCCGCAAATGAGGGACTTCGGTACCGTATATTCCCCCCTCTATTACATATGTATATATTTATATATGTATATATGTAGATGTATGTATATCTATATATATATATTTATTTATTTATTTATTTATTTATTTATTTATTTATTTATTTATGTACATGTATATATTTTTTAATATGTGCCCATGGAACGATCTATCCTGATCACTGCTCAGCGCGCTTTTCTCCGCCGGCAGGCTGTCGAGCAACACAGGAGCTTCAACAAACACAACCATTTCGTCTTTTCGTCCCTTTGTGCCTTCAATGTCAACTTCCCCCCCCCCCCCCCCAAAAAAAAAAGAAGAAAAAAAAAACGATTCTGACCAGATAGGCCCCCAACAAGACAAGAAGTGGGCTGCCAGCGCTGTTGTTCACATGACGCGATGCTTTTGGTCGCATCCAGTGTGGTGCGAGCATGCAACATGCCGGGTGTATAAACGCTTTTTTGCCTGGCCAGCAACCCTAAACCCTAAACTCTACACCCTAAACCCTAAACCCCAAACCCCAAACCCCA